CGGGGGTAGATTGTTGAGCATGTTTAGGTATATCAGGTCAAGTTCTTATTTAGTAATGCACAGGAAGATTGTATTGCGCCAAAATATACAAACACGTTTTCGAGGGTAAATTGCTTATTTTTCAAAAGAGAAGAGGTTTTAACATTGGTAATTTTTGCATTAAGCTCAACTGAGTGTATATTAAACAATATCGGATGTACTAGATGTGCGGTTAATGGCTTCGAAAGAGAAATCGGCGGACTGGATTCGAATTATGTCCGAGTTCATTATTCACTTTTGTACAAATAGCCAAGGGAAAGTGTTGTGACCAAGTAAATGCTTAAAGAAATAACAAGACAAGTGTTGTAGATATATCATATATTAAACAGTAAGTACAACAGAAGTGTATTACACGACTAGTGAGTGTGGGTCGGTTGGCTCAGCGACCAATCTATTTGGCTGTTAATATTTAACAGCCCCCACGAGGGTGTATGTGGCACAAGGCCAGTTTATTGTGGTATTCCGAGCCCGTAATATTACCTTTGAACCCGCCTAAACGGGTTCAGGGACTGTCTACCCCCACCCCCGGACTAAACTTTGACCTGCAGCAAAGGTTCGTCCGGGTTCCACTCTGCCGAAGAGAGAGTTCGACAATTGAACAATCTATTCGACTGTTATATTTAACAGTCCCCCCACAAGGAACTTATGTGGCACAAGGCCGAATTTAACGTGGGTTTCTTCGAGCCCGTAGGCTCGGCAAAAAAAAAGTCCCCTTTGAACCTGCCTAAATGGGTTCAGGAACTGTCTACCTCCCCGGACGAAACTTTGCCCTGCGGCAAAGCCTCACCCGTGTTCCTCTCTGCCGAGGCAGAGAGTCTGACTGTTAAACAATCTGTGCAACTGTTCCCATAAGGCCTTCTCTGCTGCTTATAATAGGTTGAAGAGTCCAACATAGACTCTTTAGAGGAAGGACATCATAATAGAAAAATTTGAGTCCATCTCTACCCACCTCACAGGAACTACGGGTTAAATAGTCTGGTAAACTGGAATCTTCTGTCATGCTTGGCAACCAGTCTAGAAGGACAACTTAGAAATAAATACTGATTATATAGACTTGACGAAGTTCACAAATTACCTGTGTTGTAGGGTTGTGGAACTTGAATCCAGAATATATAAAAAGCTTCAAGCTCAATGTTAGGGCAACCTCGGTGCATTTTGTCATTTTGGATATGATGGAGACATTGAAAATATTTTGGAGTCCAGAATTAATTGTGGTATAGAGTTGTGGATTTTATGATCCCAACTTGAATCCAGTATATATAGGTAACATACAGGTTTTTCGTTTTAATGCCCACAAAAATAATTCTAATTATCTAAATAATTAAACACTGAATTTAAATTTTTGAACAGATATCGACAAATGTAAACAAATCTAGAAGTGATTTTGAAGTGTAACTCTGAATTCAATTCCGCCTGTAGCCTTGGCGAAGCACTTACTTTACGGGTGGAAAAGATTATGGAGTTCGCAATTAACTGTGGTGAGAGGTTATAGAATCGAAGATCTCGACTTAAAAAAATACGGAAAGTTCCCGGATGTAATGTACACTACTACTCGAGTAAATAATACAGGTTTTCGTCGGTTTACGACCTATGCGATTTATGACTGATCGACTTTACGACCGCGATTTGGTATGTCTGGTCGTCTGGCCATGACTGCCCTGCGTCTGGCAGCGTGAGTGCTTCCCAGCTTGGTGGTGTACGACAATTTCCGCTCCAGATCCCGGCAGCGCCTCAAGCTCAGTGTTAGGGCAGCCTCGGGGCAATACACTTTCCCCCGAGTCCGTTTCTGTCTTTAAAAAAATTCTTTAAAAAACCCAACATGTCTTCCAAGAGGAAATTATCTTTGTCTAACTCCAGAACCTGCCAAAAAGGAAAGAAATGCTATTTTTCCCAACACGAAAATGTTATTTTTTAAAAGCATCTCAACCCAAGCAAGGCAAGAGAGCCACTAGCACACAGGGGGGGGGGTTACAGAGAGTGAAAGTGAAGGAAAAGACTGAATATAGAAGGGGGGATTGAGGAAAGGATAAAAGAGGGACGGGGATCAAGGCAACAGAAGACGGCGATTGACATTGTATTTAAATTTTTGAAGATTGTAATTATCAGGGAAGTAAGTAAGAGGAAGGGAGTTCCACTGTCGGGAAGCGCGAGAAAAGAAACTGCTGGAGTAGAAACGGTGGTTGCATTTAATGATTTCACCAGTAAAAGGTGGGACCTAGATGCCAATCAAGTAGCACGCTTAAATTCATATAGTCAGGTCATCAGAGAAAAATCTCGTCAGAGCAGTTTCCATAAAAATATGTGTAGAAAAGACAGACGGAAGTCACATCATATCTATGAGAAAGTGACTGGAGTCAAGGTGTCAAAACAGAACCAATTACATTGTAGAACTTCCTTTGGGTTTTGTCGAGAATCTATAGGTGAACAGTAGGGGCAACAATATTCAATGTATGGACGAGTGGTAGATTTGTAGATGTGTAAGATGGACTTTGACAGGGAAAAAACTTCTGGCACGACACAGTGAACCGACTTTCCTTGCAGAAGATGCAGCTGTTGATTCAATACAGTACGAAGTACGAAATGTTTTCTGTTTTTGCACCTATATGTTTTTGTATGTTTAGCAAATATTAAACTGTAGTATACAGTGCCTGACCCAAACCTGACGAACGTAAAATATAAGAAACAAAATAATATGTAGAGAGATCATACAAATTGTCTGAAACGTAAAGAAACCATAAAAATTACTTTAAAAAAATAATACAATAATGCCTAAAAAAATAGATAAAAATATTGCAAAATAATCTCACTGCTAAACTTATGACTAGATCGATTTACGATCTGTCGCAACCAATAGTGGTCGTAAGTCGACGACCTGTGAGTACAAAATTCATAGCCTAATGATTAAGAAAGCATTTAGTTTTCATCTTCTGTTTCGAGAAAACTTTGAACACTATTAACTAGTTTCTTCCATTACTACTTGTCTCTCACGATCTTCATTAATTCTGCATTTATTAGCTGATCCATAAATATTAAACCAACTGTACTGTCGTATGCAGTTTTTGACTTGAATCTGACGAACGTAAAAAATTAAAAACAAAACAATATGTAGAGAGATGACACAAATTGTATCAAACGTAAAGAAACCGTAAAAACTATTTTAAAAAATACAATAATGCCTGAAGAAAGATAAAAATATTGCAAAATTAATTAGAGGCCAAATGACGGTCAAATCGATTTACAACCTTTCAGTCGTTATTAATTGTGGTCGTAAATCGATGTCAACCTGTATTCGGTAAATTAACAGCCCTCATGAAGGGGCTCATTAATTTTTTCACATAGTGTTACTGGTGATTGGTCGCATTGAACGTTTCAGGCTTTAACCTGCACCAATCTTGATGAGTGGTCACACCCTCAAAGAGGCCCCTTGCTACAAACGCCTACTGGGGTTAACACTAACTCTCGATCTAAAATATAATATATTCTTGCCGTCACAAAAGATGGTGTGAGAATGGTCGGATCATTGTATCGTTCCAAAAAATACCTAACTCTTGCCTTCATGCCCAATAAAGTCAGATTAGACCTGGAATTGAATATTACTGCCATATTTGGGCTGCTGTTGCCCAATCCTCACTCTCCAGCCTTGACAGTGTTTAAAAACACTGAAACAGCCTTGTAGGTGATGAATCTGTTCTCCACCCTACAACCATTATCCTACAGATGAAATATCGCCAGACTTTTACTGCTGTTACAATGGCGAATCCCCAGGCGAGTTACTTCCCCTAGTGCAACCTTCACAGCTAGAACCCACCATGTCGTGTTCTACTCAGACAGCCTCTTTCCCATAACTGTTATTTGTAGAACAAATCCCACGGGAATGATTCCTTGACAACGATAATCTTTGTCTCTTTAAGTTCAAGGTCAAACGATATCTATACTAAACGTCTTCATAATAATCTTCTCTTTTTCAATCCCCACAGTAAACCTCTACATTCAGTGGACCCAGGGTCTTATATTATATGAACTGTTAGTAAATTAAGTTTAAAAAAGCACACTCGACCGGTTTTGAAACACACCTGCTCCATATATTCTCAAGAAACCTGACGAGGCATTTCGAAAGCCACAGTACTGCATTTGACGAGCTTTACACAAAATGTGATGTTCTGACACCTTTTTGAAATTTACTAGCCATTTTTAGAGATGGTGTTCCGTATAGCGGAAGGAATAACGGCTGGAACTGAGAAATCAAAGAGCGGAGTTCGAATTCTAGTCAGGTTCGTTACAATCACTTACGCACAAAATTCCTTGGGAAATGTATGAATACATCTCTACTCGACTTGACTAGCACGAAAAACTGGACCCTATAGTCTTGGTTGGCAACTAATCTATTGTAGAAATAAATGGTGACCTACTACGGGAAAATCTTCTGCCTTGTCAGTCATGAATCGAAAGACACATGATCGCCCAGGCGTGTATCATGCCTGGCACTTAAATGACTGATGAAAATATCCCCGTCCAACTCACTACCTAAAACAATTTTTTAAAATCGTCTTGGTTGGCTCTAGAACTTTTCTGTACTCTCTCGCAAAGCTGTTCCAAGAAACGTTACCAAACCTCGTGAAATAATTAAACCCAATTAGACAGCACGAAGATTATTCGTAGACTGACTCAGCAGGCTGGGTATTATGCGTGACCATTTACCTTGAGCGGTACAATCAAAGCATACGCAGTTGGATGAACTCATATTTGCTAAACTCATGGCAAAAGCGAAACCAGGAACAATGAGAGTAAAGGAGGAAATACCCAACTGTCTTAGCTAACATTTTGACATTGGAGAAGCCAAAAGAATACGACATATTTTATCTTCTGTGCTCTTGGTATTAATCGGTACTCGGATATTTGTCAGATTTTGACAGTCGGCTACTCTAAGAGTGACTGAATTAAGAGAATTTCTAATTAACTCGATGTCTCAAGATTTCCCACGTCATCCGTTTGGCATCGGCAAAAGTGAAAACCTTCTGTTCATATGGAAGCCTGATCAGTTAGAAGTTGTTTATGGATATTCATATGAACCAGGCGATTCAACCAAACATGACTTTTTTTTCTCCTTTTTTTTTTATCTTCCTTTCTTGTGTGTTGATTGTTCTGTGTATTTTTGATCTTTTAAGATTACCATACTGAGCATACTGCCGACAAACAAACGCAGATACACACAGACATGAGTGTATGAGACAAAGTGTGTGTCTATATGTAATATGATTATATATAGAGAGAGACGTTAGTTATATATTCATATATATTAATATGAATTTATATTTACCTATCACACATTCTTATATATATATATATATATATATATATATATTCGCCATTTAGCTTTTATATACAGACAAACCTTTCATCAACGGACTAATAGGGGGAGATGGATTATCCGTTAAATCCGATTGTCCGTAGATGAGAAGGGATTATTTTTTAATTATAAAACCACTATAGTAACTACCAGTAGTTATGATCATAATGTAAATACTATAAACATGTATATATGGCATAAATAAATATATACTACATAATTCAGGCTTTAACCTGCACCACACATGATGAGTGGTCACACCCTCAAAGAGGTCCCTTGCTGCAAACGCCTACTGGAGTTAACGCCTACTTCTCGATCTAAAATGAAACATGTATATTCGTGCCGTCACAAAAGATGTTGTGTGAATGGTCGGAGATTGTATCTATTTATATATTAATCAAAATAACAAAAATAATAGATTTCTCACAGCTACTGTCTCATCCATGCGCTAATGCATCGTACTTTATATACTGTACACCTGTCTTAGTTTACAATTGAAAGGGTCACCACCGCTGCCAAGCGGTCACTTTGAGAACTAATAAAACTCGTTCCGCTAAGCACGCAAATTTCGAAATACATCGCTGATGATTTGGAAGTTTTTTCCGGCAGATTTTTTTTATTTATTTTGCCTGCGGATTTTGTCTGTCGCACCCGAAGTCCGTTGATGGGGGTGCGTAGATGAGAGGTTTGTTTTGTATATATATATATATATATATATAAGTATATAGTGGTATATATATATATATATATATAAGTATGCAGAAAATAGAAAAGAACACGTTGGGTGCATAATCCGGAGTTCCTTAGTATTTTTGTTTTTATTTTTAAGAAGACAGTGCTCCATACAGAAGTAGAGCTTTATTATAATAATATTTTTTTTTGTTTAAAATATGATTTTCACATAAGAGTTCTCATGTTTCAAAAACAAGAGCTTCCTAAAATTTTGCTTTGAAGATGAAACGAGACTAAACACCTCAATTCAACTTAATTTTAATAATTATTTGATGATTTTGGCTCTGTTTTTGAAAAACATGAGAACTTTTATGTAAAGGAAGGAATCATATTTTTTAAAAATAAATATATATATATATATATATATATATATATATATATATATATATATATATATATACCTACCTAACAACGGATCTTCAGTGCACAAATGGCAGTTGTACCCTGAAGATCCGTTAGGTGAAATTTTGGTAGGTAGGTTCTGGCTCAATAGATTTTTTAGATTGCTCCACTTAATGTATTGAGCATTTTTACTTAGTTGACACGGTTTTTTTTTTCTTTTGACTAAGTATTGCGCCGCTGATTGTTTTTTTTTTACCAACACAGAGGTATTTAGTCCTTTCTTGGTTTACTGATATAGGTTTGTTCAAATATATTTTATTTGTAAATTGTATTATCCGGATATTTTTCACAAGTATAAGTATACGCATTAAATATATATATATATATATATATATATATATATATATATATATATATATACTCACCTGTGTATAAGTAATTATAATAAATAATTATATATAATTATATATATTTATATATATATATATATATACATTAGTTTATATATATATATGTATGTATATATACATATATATGTGTTTGTGTGTGTATATATATATATATATATATATATATATATATATATATATATATATATATATATATATATATATATATATATAGAGAGAGAGAGAAGAGAAACACACACAGAGGAAGTGAGAGAAAAGAAAGACGTTTTGTTCGCTGTATTTTCTTTCTAGGTTTTAACTCGTTTTAGCTGACTTTTAAACAAAGATATTCATTTGTAGCACTCTATGAGGATCGAACTCACTGCTTGACATGCTCGTTAACCATTACACATTTACTATATGCAATAAGAGACGCTAGCAGGATATGCTCCAGCCCAGGTATTGTAGCAGTACTCTGTTTTTTTTTTTTTTTTGTTTGTTTTTTTTTTTAAATAATTGCAAAAAATACATATTTAAAGATTGACATGTGAAAACATTTTAAAAACAGTGAAGACTTATCAGTTCCGTATATTCCGTCATTTTTTTTTTTTTTGCTGTACATTTTAATTCTATATAAAATTCCGCTGGAATTAAAGTGGGGGATCATTTTTTCTATTGTTATTAAGTAATAAACTGATCCCCGGAGAATATTTAATAATTTAAAAAATTATATTTAAAGATTCACTTGTGAAATGTTTTTAATAAAAGTAAGGACAATATCAGTTCCATATATTCCGTCATTTTTGACTTTACCTTTAAATTCTATATAACATTGCGTCGGGTTTAAAGTGGGGGATCAGTTATCTAGTGTTCTTAAGTAATAAACAGATCCCTTGAGAATAATATATTTAAAGATTGATATGTGAAAATCTTTTAATGATAGTAAGAACTTAATATCAGTTTCATATACTCTGTCATTTTAGGCAGAATGTTCAAGTTAGTAAATACATGTCTGCTGGATATAAAGTGGTGTATATATTCTCTATTGATATTGAATAATAAATAGATCTTTCCACCAAAAAAGAATTAATACATATTAAAATAATAAATAGAAAATTTTATTTAAAGACATATAGATGGAAATCTTTTAAAAATAGCAAGAACTATATGCCGGCATTTTTATACTACTTTGCCAGTAGTATTAATATAAGATTCTCTTTTTTTTTTTTTTTTACCTTTTTTTTTTTTTTTTTTTTTTTTAATCGAGTTCCCCCCAAGTAAGCCAATAAAGACACTAAGACAAAAAGGGTTACTGGGTGTGGAAGAATTAAAAAAACAAAAATTTGCTAAGGAGAGAGAACAAAAGAAGGGTAATCAGGAGGACAGTAGATAGCGATTGGCATTGCATTTAAGTTTTTGAAGATTAAAGTTGGTTGGAAAACGAGAAACCGGAAGGAAGTTCCACAAGCTAGATGTGCGAGAAAAAAAAACTGTTAGCATAGAATTTACGGCTACATCTTGCCGGCTCAACTATAAATTGATGAAACATCGTTGCCAGCCCCGTATTGTGCTTAAATTCAAAAAGTCTAGGTACCATAGCAGAGAGCTCATTCGAACAATTACCAAGAAAGTATTTATATATAAAACACAGAAAGACAACCATACAACGGTGGGAAATTGACTGAAGCTGAGCCACCAGATCAAGACCAATAATATTGCTGATTCTTCTTTGGATTTTATCAAGGAGCTCTAGATAAATAGCAAGAGCACCGGACCATGTGTGGCAGTAATATTCTGAGCATGGTCGAATGGTAGACTCATAGATATGTAAGATAGATTCTGGAGAGAAAAATTGTCTAGCACGACACAGTCTTTCCACTCCATGTCGGAACATTAGCTCAAGAAGGCGCAACGAGACACTCTCCTGGAGGTCAGCATTAGCCATGCTGATGGAAGGCTGAGATGGATCTTGCAGATGATTAATAGAGAGCAGTTTACTTTTAGAGGCGTTAAAATTAACAAGCCATCATTTACCCCAGTTAACAACAGACTAAAGATCGTTTTTTTTATATCAGCTGCCATTTTGGCATAAATTATAAAACATAGGTACACGTCCTTCTGCGTTTGTATTACTCTTTCTGATATTCTGAGCATGAATATCACGTTTCAGCGTCTTTAATGAAACCGCACTGTCATTGTCTTCTTTCCGGTCCGATTCTGCTACGCTCTCTATTCATCGAAATTCGGATGATAAATTTTATTATATGACTCAGTAAGCCGATTGTCCAATGGAGTTCAGATTCGTTTGCGCCTGGCTTCTTAGACAGTGCTATGAAAATCGATCTACTTAGATTTACTAACTAATAATATAATAATTGGAGAAATATATTTGATGGCTTACCTGTGAAAACATTTTAATAGTCGTAAGAACTTTCAAATCCAAATCCATGCCCTTCGCTCTCCTGTTGAAAGAACCTCTCCCTGATTGACCATGCCTTCAGGGGTGAAGTCGTAGTGACCACGCTGGGTCAGTTGCGGATTGATGAGGCTACTTAACCTGTAGTTGGAGGTTTTGAATTCATAATTGGGATCTTTTCTGTTAAATAACCCCAAATGATTTAAAGTTAGTTATCACAAATATTAATTCACCTCAAGAAATTATAGATTTTAAATCAAAATTTGTTTAGCTTGCCTCGTAACAACTTCAACCCTCAGAATAAAAAATAGCTAAAATCAGGAAGTTATTCATTTTTCTTAAGTGTGGATGACATTCGAGGTACTTATAAGAAATTTTTAAAATTTAAAAAAAGAATTAAAAAAAAATCTGTTTTTGGCATATTTATTGGGGTGAACCTGAACACTTAGAAATAGCGAACCCGTGTCGCCCATATTTGGGGTGTTCGCAACGGTCAACCCAACCTGCCTGCAATCGAAGAGCCTCGCTCTAGTTTGAAGTTTAATAAATATAAATTCTTTTTATTTTATAGGTGAATTAATATGTTGGGATGAATTAACAGAAAAGATCCTATAGTCGTCCTCCTAAACAGATTATTACCCAGTCTCTCCTGCTATTTAACCACAGCTGGTGTTTGGGGGACGAGATGGATTCATGCCTTTCTCAAGGATATTTGTATGTAAGTAAATGTAACAAACTCGACTGGAATTTGAACTCGGCTCAAAAAAATATTCATTTTATTTATGCCGCCATTTTTTACAGCATAGGTAAACTCCTTTATTTATAGCGTTTCTAAATTTTACGCTGTTTACTTTTCATATCACGCACATTCATTTTGCTATATTTTACATATAATTTGCGATAGTATTTTTAGACCATTCTTATTCACACCCTAGTAGAACTTTTGTTTTCTAAGAAAATGAACGTTTCCATCTTCCTGCAGACAGAGATTTTCCCGTTAGACTGTTTTTGGTAAACCACATATCTCAGGTGATTTTCTCTCCCATTACCGATTAATCTCTTCTTCTTCTCGTTTTTCGATCTTGACGAAGAAAACAAATGATAAACAGGCGACGATTCGCTCCCCGGTGGCCTAGAAAGCAAAGAAAATTATGCAAATAAATAAAGTAGAACAAAAGAAAAAAAATACAGAAAGAGATTCTGTTCTGTCTTTCCGCCTCATCTCAATCAATTTTGTAAGCTCACCTAAAATATTGCACTAAGTGGCTCAAATTTCTCTTGCTAACCGTAATAATCGACCGGCAATGAAGAGTAACTGTCGGGCTAGCATTATTGTTTTCCCACCATTGACAACGATATTATCAATCAAGTTTAACTATAAACCCGACGTACCCATGGGTTTTGGTAAAATCATTTGTTCAATTGGTTCTTGAGGGTGCTATAACCTGTGTTTTGATGCCTTTTTTGTTGGAAGGGGAAAACAGTTGAATAATATCGTCTCTGAAAAATCCCTCCTTCTCCAACTTTCCTTTGTGTACGTTTTCTTTCTTTCTTTCTTACTTTTGAAATTCTAACATTCTATGTCTTCCTCTGTTTTATTTCATTTTTTCTTTCATATCTCTTTCTGTTGTTAGTTTCTTATTTTCTTTCCTCTTCTTTTTAACTTTCCTTTTTTCGTCTTTTTCTCGTTCTCATTCATTTTATCTTTCATCTTTCTATTTCTTCTCGTAGTTTCGTTCTTTTTTTTATTTTATTTTATTTTTCGTTAACTTTTCTTTGATTTTCTTTTTAAATTTATTCGATAAGTTTTCTTTCTTCTATCATTTTATTCTCATTTTCTTTCACATACTGTTTGATTGTTCTTTTTTTTAATACCGTTTCTTTCTCTCTTTCTTTATTATTTCTTTTATTTATTTATTTTAATCTTTATTCTGTTATTTCAGTCTTTTATTCTTTAAAACTTACATTTTATTTATTATACCTTTTAATTCATTTTATTTCATATTTTATTCCATTCATTCTTTTATCTTTTCTTTTTTTTTTCATTTAATCCTTCTCTTCATTTCATTTATTTCCTCCTCTTTTTTCTTTTTCTTTTTTTCTTTTATTACTCATGTCTTTTCACCTGCTGGTAATTTCTTTCTTTCTTGAATCTTTTTTTTCGTTTCATTTTTTTTTATTTTATTTATATTTTCCTTCTTTTGTCTTTTTAGTTAGTGTTTCTTTCTATTCTTTTGCATTTTCTCTTTCTTTTTTTATCCATCTTTTCATTATTTTCTAACATTATTACGTTTTTCTTTTCATTATCCCTTCTTCCTGCATCTCGTTCTGGCTTTCCTCTTAACGCCTCTACTTACAATTTAGTTTGGTATTTTACTCCTTTTCTCTTTCTATTCATCTTTTACAGGATGTTTTCTCTCTTTTTCTCGATTTATATTTTCTTTTTTTTT